GCTGTACTATAAAGGTCACAGAGAAGGCTCCAACATCACATATACAGGTAACGTCACAGAAATTCAACGTAATTTTAGGAGCTGTAGTAGTACCACATGCTGTGGTTTTTTGATCTTACCTTACATCGTCAAGTAAAACAGTGGCAATGTAATGGCCTTGAGATAGAGTTCCGCTATGCTGGACTACAGCATAGAGTTTATACACCGAGCTTAAAAATTGTAGCTTGTCCGGAAAACTGACAAGACCAGGATGCTTCATTACTTCATATTTAGAAATTAGGACTCTGTAACAATATCTGTATTTTAGTGAAGGCATTTTGTGACATAAATTGTAAGGATAGACTAAATACTTGAAATACTACTTAAAAATATTTTGTCACTTGCATAGACTACATCATAGCTTGAAATATTGATTTTTGGTCACTATTTTTTCATTAAAATATTCGCCTAGAGACAGCTCTGAGCTATGTATATCTGATGAGTGATGATTATTCTGTGAGATACAATTATTTTGTTCTGTTCTGTTCTGTCTATTAAATATCTGAACAGCTTGAAAACTAAGCAAGTACGCAAAAGGGGTTCCTACAAAAGATTCGAAAGACAAAAGAGGAATTTATTGGCGACTTCTAGATTGACCTAGATAATGTCCTTAGAGGTTATTTAGAAGTCAACTTAGCAAATTCAAATAGCAGCCACCATTTTTGGCAAATGATTAACGATAAGTACGAGATTCTACAAATACAGACAAGCTGAAACATCTGAAAACTGTATAAACACTCTGGAAACTTGGCACCACGCATTTGCCGAGATTTATAAAATCAAATCACCTCTAGTATGAGCTAGACAATGACCTCGGAGGTTATTTGGAGGTCAGCTTCGTAAATTTAAGCAATCACCACTAGTTCTGACAACAGATTCGTGATCAGCACAAGTGGACAAATCAGCAGTTCAATCCGCCACCAAAGATTGCAACTATTTGAATTCACAAACTTGGCTTCCAAATTACTTTTGACGTCTAAATCACATCCCTTTTTTGACTTCCTGAAGCTTTAGCATAGACCCTTTAAAAAATGCGGTTTAGACTAGTTTCCGGTGCATTTGTGATCTTTTGAGGCCTGCCCAATTGACCACTTTTGATTGCGTGACGAATATGAACACCAAAAATGGTAGATGATAATCCAAGTTTACGAGGTTGAACGCTAAATGACATCTGAGGTCATATTAAAGGTCATCGGTATATTATTTTTTGGTCTCCTGAAACTGTTGAGAAAATATTTTTTCGAAAAAAAAATGTGTGGCACTACAGCGTTTGTGTACTTTGCAGACGTTACAGCTTCGCATAACGGTTTCTCTTTTGACACCGACGGAGCCGCGCAGGCAGAAGCCTAAATGGCAGGGCAATGCGGGTACTATGATGATCCCAAGGAAACTTTGTTAATCCGATTTTTGAGCTGCCTATGGTTAGTAGAACTGGGAAAAGCCTTCTCTTGTAGTTTGCTCCACAATCTCGACATCCTGGGATGGGAGGCGGAAGTCAGGCAGGTCTGTTTGGCATGCATCAAGGAGGAGAGCAAAGACAGTTGGTGTAGCGGTAGAAGAGAGCTAGAATCGCCGTCGGCCCGGCGGTGCCAAAGGAATCCTGAGACTGTCTGTTAAAGATCAGTATTGATCAGCCGGACGGCCCTCCTCTGGATAACATCGAGCATGGATAATGTAGTCCAGGCGGCATCACCTCAATCGTGTGAGCAGTACTCGAGGCTAGGTCTTACCTGGGTCTTGTATAGAGTGAGGAGGTCATCCGGAGAAAGAACCTTTTAGACCTGGCTTTTTCCCACCAGCTGCCACTATTGACGAGATGTGTTCGAGATAGATCATGTCCTCGAAGATCTGGACTCTGACCAGAAATGAACGGTTCTTTGGCAGAACTCGGCCATCCATCGAAACCGGATGAACGCTAGCACGCTTTTTGTTCGTCAAGGTACAGTACTGTGTTTTGGAAGCATCAAACTGTATAAGATTGTTGCGTCCCAAAGCAGTGATAACCTCCAGGTCTATGGTCAGGGAGGAAATCGCTGCTAGTCTTTTTTCCAGCAAGGGTGGTTGCTACTTGAATTTGAGAAGTTAACCTCCTATTATTTAGGTCATATTAGAGGTCACTGATATAATCCTTTTTTAATCTCATAAAACTTTTGCTAGACTCTTTTTTCGAAATAATGCATGGTTCTCAAATTTTCGGGCTGTTCATATATTCAATAGGAGGAACTAAAGATAAGACGACTGCACACTTTTAAAATCCGCAGTATAATCGTACATTTTCAGACATATAATCAACGTATCTGGGTCTACGACGACAGATCTCTTGTTCACGACTGCACCAATGTTCTTGCATATCTCGCACTGATAGTCTTTTTCAGTGGCTTCGGCCAGATAATCCTTGATCAAATCTTCTAATTCACAGGGTAACTAAGTTCTGCCGCATGGCAAGATTTAGGATACCCTCTGTTCGAATGAACAAATCTTCTTTTGGCAATGAGTGCAAATTTTCTCATCCCTAAGTTGATAGTACGTTCTATCCACCAAAAAGCTCGATCGCCCTTGTAGAGCGCTATACCAAGCTTGTTCACTATCCGTCATAACCTAAATGAAAAGTATCGTTATCTCATCGAAAAATTAAAAACCTGTGGTTTCAATGTTACTAAGCTTCTTCAA